TTACGCCCAATGGAATCTATTACGGCAAGTAATCGAGACAGATTAGTCTCTGTCGTTGACGTCATAATAATGTCTAACTTAGATAACGAATAGGGCGGTGGGGTAGAGTAGTGGTTAAAGGGTTCGCTAGTCATGCCGAAGACCCGGGTTGGATTCCCCACATGGGTACAATGTGTGAAGCCCATTTCTGGTGTCCCCCGCCGTGATATTGCTGGAATATTGCTAAAAGCGGCGTAAAACTAAACTCACTCACTCACTCATTTACTAGATAACGAAAAGGCGGACCATTTGATATTCTGGGTTAAAGGATGGTTGCAGTTGTGAACGGGTTAACTTTTTTTAGATAGAAACAGGAAAAACATAATTTCGCCTCTGGTCTTTACACGCACACGTGCACACAGACACGAACAAACACACAGGCGCTCGCACACCCTGTAGTTCAACTGGCGCGGTCAGGTGGCGGTACACATTTTCTCAATGAACCTCTGGGGTTGAATATCTGCATGTTTTGCACGAGTTTCTCCAACAAGGTAAAGAATGACAGAGACAGAGACTGCATGTAATATGTCCTCACAACAGGACTGATTAAAGTTTCAACGCCATGTTGGTGTTAAAGTGCTAGCTCACTACAATGTCACAAGGTAAAATAGATACCACATTCACAGTATACATACTCTGGTTTACCTGAAATGCCAACCGCTCAGTTTGGTAACAGTAACACTGTTTGGTTGTTGTTTAACGAGGCAATAGTACAGCTATATGGTCTGACCAGACAATCCAGTGATCAGCATCATGAGCATCGATTTACGCAATTCTCTTACGATGACGTGTGTCAACAAAGTTAGCGAGTCTGACCACACGATTCCGTTAGTCGCTATTTAAGACAGGCATGGGATGCTGAAGACCAATCCTAAACCGGATCTTCACGGGTGATATGGCATCGAACCACTGACGTTCCGCTCTCCAGACACACACTCTATTCACTACACCACACAGGCGATTCTCCAGCAACAGTTCGGCTATACTTCATATACTGAATAACACAGACAAACTCGACCTCAGGCCAGTCCGTGGGGATCTCTTGCATCAATGTATATTATTGGCAAACGAAACCTATGTTAAAGGTAGCCATTAAGGGCTGATTTAATGCGCTGCATAATGCCTATACGAGACCACATTATTGTAAGATTTATACTGTTTTGCTAGACACGATCAATCAAGGTATTGCAGTAATATTGAAAGAGTGGTGTCGGATGCGCAGAAGTCAATTCATGATGACCTATTTAGATCAGAGGTTACCTTTCCTTAAAGCTGATCATGCCGACATATATCTGTATCTAATATGTGTCTAAATCACACTTCCTCAATTCAGAGTAGAGCCTTCAAGACATGGCCTTCTTCTGTGGCTGTGTGTACTTTTTCAGACTTATAACGTATTTATGGCGCTTGCCCCATGGGCTGTCTGGTCAGAGTTTAACATGCACGCCCCTCTCAGACACAATATACTGATCCGAGCTGACCAGTCCTTCTTTTGTCTTCTTAATGCCGAGCGCCAGGCAAGGTAACATCAAGCACTCTCTATTAACGTCGCTAGCTATGACTCGTCCACGGATTGAACCAACGGCCTACTCTCCCCTAGAATACGCAATGTCCACTAGACCGCGTATAGCTTTACCTAAGTTCAGGAGGAAGTAGAGAACGAACTTAAATTAGAACATATACAATATGTATAGAAACAAAGAGAGAAACAAATAAAGGAACACGTTCCTTTACTAATTTCCAGTTTTCATCTCCAGCTTTGAACAGAACTGTGGGAGGAAATCTGAAAATACATACAGGAACACTGCCATGAACTGTTGTTCCCTTATTTGTTTCCCTCAGTATATATTCATGCCTGAAACACCACACATGTATTCTCCAAAGATGGCATCAACAGGCGCCCAGCATTAATCAGGATCAATCACAACCAGGAAGAACCCATTTTGAAAAAAACCCAATTCCAACCATTATGAGTAGTTCCTTGAGCCGCAAGTCTGAAGGCGGAGTTAACGAATGGTCTTCAGCTTTTGTGTTTTTATCAGTGCAATAACTGTAGTATAAGTGTTGTCGGTGAGGTCAAATCTGGAGGACATAGCCTGCTGACGACCAGCTGTATATACTCACTGACACCGGGTGTCACCTGGAGCACTGTACACCTTCATCGACCCGCGGACACCCGGTGTCGTCACTCCAGTGGTTCATTAATGTAACTTTTCGTGCAAGACGACCTTGGAGTAGCTGGAACTGCTTCATGCACATATACGGTTTTGTTGAAACAATTATTCACGTCTTTACTGCAACCGACATTTATCGGTTGTGAGTGAAATACGGACTGTCGATTAACGAGAATGTGCAGTCACGTGCATGCACTTGTTTGTGTGTCTGTGTCTGTCAATGTGTTTCTGCATGTAGTGAGAAATCTGGACAGTTGACGATGTTACCGGACTGGACGACTGAGATACCATACAGCGTAATCGTGGATACCCTATACAGACACAGTATTCTGCCTCAGAATCGACAGGTCCGTATTTCATGGATATATTCAAGGGGAATTTTTAACAAGGTATAATCTCTTCCTGAAAATAATAATAAAATGAAAATAGTCAAAACGTAATCGTTCAACAGAAAATCTGAATATTTCGCAGCTTTGACTAAAATAGATCTAATCACAACACACTTCTCCCCTCCAAACAATTTCCCTGTTTGGAAGGGCAGTTCGGCTGTATTAGGCTCTGCTGTTGGATATGCTTACTGGAGTCACAGACCTGTAAAGGTCCGGGTTAGAATTGATCTTCAGTAACCCATGCTTGTCGTAAGAGGCGACTAACGGGATCTGGTGGTCAGGCTCGCTGACTTTGTTGACACATGTCATCGTATCCCAATTGCGTAGATCGATACTCATGCTGCTGATCACCGGATTGTCTGGTCTATATTCGATTATTTACAGACAGCCGCCATTTAGCTGGAATATTGCTGGGTGCGGCGTAAAACTAAACTCGCTCACTCACTCACTAACTAACTACTGGAGTCACGCAAGGCAGGACCCGATCCTGAATCCTGGTTAGCCTCTACTGTATCCACAGCTTCACCTCTCGTTGTAGATGTTTACGATGCCTCAATCGTTCATCAGGCATTATGCTGACATATTTATAACTAAAAAGACACAGATGAAAGCGGCGTAAAACGCAACTCACTCAACCACGGTTTATTCCTAACGCCCTTGCGTGTCACAGGTTAGACGGTCATATTGAATCTTATCGTTAGCAAATAACCGAATCAGGCCTCCCCCTGTGGTTATACTGTCTCCAATCAATACTGCACAGTGGCTAGGTACCAGGCGTAGATACAATATGAGAGGTGCTATACTTATATACTGTATACACAGGCTTACCGTCACGTTAAGGTCTTAACTTGTCATCTGGGCACTTTATTGTCATCGATCAAACACAGGTGTATGTTGCGACTGGAAATATTTAGTTTGTGCTGCGAATTGTATGTGTTTGTGTTTGTCAACGTCTTGTTGGGGTTTTAGGTAGGTTACATCATATTTAACCGTATCGTGAATGTTATATATGATTATATACTGCTTATTGTATTCAGAGTATTTCAGTTACAGAGACGGTCGGTGGCCAAGTGTTACAGTGTTTGCACTTGGGCCCAGTTCACGGGTTCGATTCACCACTGGTATAATCTGTCCATTTATGACTTCCCCTGCAGTAGTATAAGCAAACAAACGCACGCACGTACGAACGCACGCACGCAAGCACGCACGCACTGAAACGCATTTAACTGTCACACATTTACCTAGCATTTTATCGTTCTAATCGCGTTTACATATGTGTTATCGTAAAGTTAAAGTATTTCCACACGCTGTTCCTGTCGGACGAGCACATCTGTACAATCTCCCTGACGTCTTTGACAGCTATATGTACCATGTGGGTACTGAGTATATTCATCCACAAAGAAGGACTATATATCATTTTATTACGCAATATGTCATTAATATGCTCTATCTGGCTTAAACATGTGGTCGTTCCGAGACAATAAAACAGCCAATTGTGAAATATCGTGTTGTTTAACAGATGACTCACGCTGTTATGTAGACTCAAGTTTTACAGTGAGTTGGAGATGTGAAGACCATCCCAGTGTTCTTTACACCACAACTGCAGGAATCGCACTAGTCTGTCTCACATGCAGTCCCTCAACCACATTATTTTCCCTACTGCCCAGCCCTCCCTGCAATGTTTAAGCCCTAAAAGAAGCACGTATAGATTTCCCCAGATTCAGGCCTGAAATCTCCCAACTCACGGGGGCTCCTTTTCAATTTAAATGGGTCTATTTGTTATTATCAAAATTATGTACGTCATGTATATTCAGGGAGTAAGCGTTAGTCGAGCGAGATGTACTTTGCAATATATATCACGTGTATTTCCTGCCTCGAAACCTGCATTAAACTGCTAAAAGTGTATACATGTATGAGTCGCATCAGCTGATTCTATATTTGTTGTGATGGATCTAATATATAGCTGCATTTCTTACAGTCGACAAGGAGTACCTGTAACCTGGAATACCGCTGTGATGTTGCTGTAACACCTAATGAAGTCGTGAACACGTCATCGTAATTGACAGAATCACAACAGCTGAAACATCGATTAAAACTCATCCACTGTTAATAACATTGTTCAAATCATCGGAAACGCTCACCCATGAAGAGGAAACATCTACGTGGGTATACATCTTTAAATGTTCTTTAGGTCCTACTAAGCATGAGTGTGAGAGTTTAAAGTGCTGAGCAGGCAGTGTCCCGAGTGTTGAGACAAAGGAACGAGTCGAACCGTGACGAAGTGGCTGTTATGTGTTCTGTGAATGACACAAGAGGACCTCGTTATGATTGGAGGTTAGGCTACCGCCGATGAAGCTCAACCGTTATATGGTGTATTTACTGCGTGTATGTGGCCCCCACTCACTACACATCGACAACGCACTGCCGGGAGAGCGAGAGAGAGCGGCTGCGATTCGTTGCTGGTTGATTATTCAAAGGAAACGCGCGACGGATAAAGCCAGTTGATTAAATTCGTCAACGTTGCCTGTCGTGGAGGTTGCAGTCGTTCACTCACAATCATGAATGAGGCGGTCAGAGAACGCAGGTGCTGATTCACCGTATCGGATTACCATTGTAAAAAACAACAATGCTGTCTTTGAAAGATGTTTTGTACGTGGGGTTACTTTTCACGTGGATGTTTACACCAGGGGAGGGGACAGTGACGTCCTGTCGGGACAGGTATGGGGTTCTCCCCCTCCCTACGTTCAAGGCGTGGTCGTGTACAATGTGCTTCTCATACCTCTTCAGGGATGAGTTCGAGTTGAGGGCGAATCTCCCCAAACCTGAACTTGTGGCTGTGAATGGCTCTCGTTATGAATACGGTACCACCTTCTTACCTGATATAGAAAACAACACCGTGGTGGATGTTATCTGTGGAACCCTGAACGGCGAGGACTGTGAGCGATGGACGTCTTGCTGTCACGCAGCCCTGGAGTGCTGTCACCGTCAAAACCGTCTACCCCCTCCCGACCCCCAGGGACAGCTCTGTCCACGCACCTGGGACGGGTTCGGGTGTTTTGGGGACACCCCCGCTGGACAAAAGGCGCACATTAGGTGTCCGGCCTACATCGAGCACAGTAACCCCAGACGTAAGTAAATTGCTGCTTTTATATTTTTAATTATATGTTTTCTAGCCATTCACCTTGACTTTACAGATCCCATCTTCAGTTGTTATTAAAGTTTCAACAGAAAACCGTGGATGAGTGGACAACAATACATCACGTGGAAGCGTCCAGTGTCATATGTATGGTGCACCTAACGTTCTTGCATTCATCCATTAGATTTGGTGTAAAACAACAGGTGTTTGGTGTCTTTCACGAGGGAAGATTCCTGTTAATATGAATGTTCCTAAAAAAATTAAACTTCTTTTAAAGTGACGGTGTTTAAGTTTTAATTAGTTGTCCATTATCTCAAGAAAACAAAATGACGTTATACCCGTAACCCAGGGTTACAGATATATACAGGAAGATTGAAGGAGATGAATGAAGTTATCTACAAGTAGATAATAACGTGCTAGTAAACACATCACGATAATAAACCGTAAACACATCACGATAATAAATCATGTATTGTTCTAAATCTAGTACATGTACCCTGACGTTGTTCTGTGTGTCTTTAGCAACAGCGCATTTCGTATCGTACCAACCAATGGAACAAACGGCGACCTCAGCATCAATTCATGATTTGTCTAGAGGGGTGCACAAATGTGATTACAGCAGTAGGGAACCAGATGCTGTAGCAAGATGAAAGAGTTGGTCAATAATTAAACAATAGTTAACCATGGCTTTGAGGGGCACGCAGACCGCAGACCGCAGACCAACGCCTCGCTTACACACAGCTCACGACTGAGCCCATACCTGTCAAACTGAAACATGCCTCGATATTTACTACCTGATAAGACTCAAGGAATGCTTGCTTATCACAGTGACATATTTACCCGTCATTGTGGTGCAGCCAGGACGGCGATCACAGGACAGGGGGGTGGGGACGACGACCTGATGGGGAGGGAGGGGTACGTTCTGGTGGTGCTGATTAATGGTGAGAATACATTTAGCAGGAATATATTATGGGCATATACTGCATGGTAAAAGAGCTATACGCCCGTTCTATTATCATTCGATGCTTTCATAATGGTATTGACCCGTGAAGATCCGAGTTAGAATTGATCTTCAGTAACCAAAGCTTGTCGTAAGAGGCGACAAACGGGATCGGATGGTCAGATTCGCTGACTTTGTTGACACATGTCATCATATCCCAATTGTATCCGAAGATTGATGTTCATGCTGTTGATCACTGGATTATCTGGCCCAGACTCGATTATTTACAGACCGCCGCCATACAGGAATATTGCTGAGTGCGGCGTAAAACTAAACTCACTCTGCCACTCACTCACTCATAATGGTATTATCTTACGGTATGTACCATCAAATTGGTGCTTTGAACCTGAAGTTTACAGTGCTCTCGTCAAATTTTCAGGATTCTATCGGTTTGTTAATTTATGAAATTTCTTGATCAAATCCACTGAGTTTCAAGTTTATATTACTTGTTACGACAAAACAGATTTCGAAATTATACGAAATCTCTGAAAGTCAATCCATTGTACGATTCCGATTGTAGCACGAGCCTGTGTTGAAGAAGCATTGTCCAATAGTTATGATGTCAGGTCTAAGCTAAAGGCGAATAAAAAAATACGCCGCACCAAGCTACATGCATGCAAAGTTGCCTCCCTTGGAAGTGCCAGAATCCTATGATCCTTCTCAACACTATTGTTCGTTGGTTTTACCCCAGCTAACACACAACGTTTTAGTATTACGTGATTTAATAACGTTGCAAATTTACCTTGAGGAAACGTTATGTTTTGGGCTACTCACAGCGTAATAACAACGTTTGTTATAACTTGGTGTCACGATAGAGTTCTGTAAAACGTTTCACTTTGAGATTCTTTCTTCACTATTCAGCTACAGCTTCAGAAAACACACGACCAAAACAACATGCAAATTGACGAATAAACATTGATGTGAATTTCTGCTTTGTTTCTTATATACTGTTCACTACTAGGAAAACTATGCAACCATTAACGTTAAATAGAACGACGTCGTTATGACAACGTAAAATACGGTAGCATCAAATAACTTAACCTTGTGGCGACGTAAAACTGACGTATCACAACGTCAGGCCACAACGTTGTGACAACGTTAATGGGAGTCTACAGAATATAGCTGTAACAACGAGAGTATAACGTTGTGACAACGTGAAATTGTTAGCTGGGACCGTACTTGTTCACGTCTAAAATCTTTACCAACATAACCGTGTCTCAGTGAACTAACTCACCATTACATATAATTAATTTTGTTAAAATTTGCGTTCAAACACCATCATTCACAAAAGTAAACTTTTTTCAATTATTTTTTTCAAATTCACCCATTCATAATATTATGTTGAACTCGTTAAATTGCCACTCCTCGCGTCTCAATGCAATGTTGTATATTGACTGCGCGTGTCGTTAAAAGTAGTATGTTTTAGAAATATATTTTGTAATATAATATAACCACATAATCGAACGTTATTATACAATGCAGACATACACATTTGAAAAGACCATACGACGTGAGAAAAATACTGTTTGTGCCCCAAAACAGAATCACATCATTCTGTGACCGATGTTTTGCAAAGGCCGGTCCAGCGCTTGCAATAACATTCCCGTCAACATCAAAGATATCTACGTATTCAAGATACTGTGAATCCTATTTCTTCCACCTGGCCTGAAACTCTCATTGAAGTCTTTGGTTGACGTGGAGACCCATACAAGACCACCTTTGACCAGATCCGATCTGACGTTGGTGCTATATAAATTCATGGTTACATACAATAACCATTCCCCATGTTTACCGTAGTATAAGGCCAACTTCAAAAGCTTGAGTCCAGGTTAAATATTGTTGTTGCCAACTACAAACTCTCAAGCAATGGTTAACTGTTGTTGTAAGTTTCACGCACAAATATATATTTAAGAAGGCATGACTACATGATAACTTGTAGATATTTCAACATTAAACTAAAAAAACACAGTTGTAACACATGAAGGACAATCAGCTGATCAATTCCGCAAGACAGCAGCTGCACGATTGATCAGTTGACGATACTGTTAGTTGTCGACAGGTGCTACACCATCGTCAAGATTCTGTCGATAACAGTGAAATATATACTGTAAGTTATACGTCAGATAAACTCATGGTGTATGCTAACACTATATAATTGTGTTGAAAGGCATGAAAGGAACTCCCGGTGTTCATAGCATCAACCATCGGTTTTCTGTCGTCAATAGTCACTGGTTTACAAACTGGCATTATCTATTTCAAATATTTCTTAGTACAGCTTAAAACAAAACAAAACCTGAGTACACCTTCTCTGACATTGTGACTCAACAATCCATCTGCCTGTTAACCTGTGCCGCGGGTGCCGTAGTTAAACAACCTTGAATCATTATTTCCTAGTCCTGGGTCTCGAGGCAGTATCCCAGTCTTCCAGCGTGAACAATAAACTGAACCTTCATCTCCATCAGATAGATAGAAGTGTATCTGACATGATCTACTGCCCCTCGTTGTGGAGATGTGTGTCAGGGACGTCATCAACCGCGGCATCATCATCCCGACATGTTCCATCACGGAGACACGACTCAAATACACGGAATATGACCCAGTCACATAGCACCGTTATCACGAACAAATCTCTATATGTGTGGGTTTTTCCATAAAACGATTCACTAGTACTCAAAGGAATGCATTACATTGACGTGTATTTGTGATGGGCATTATCTTCTATATTTCTGATATAGAGACATAAACGACATATTATAACAGTTGATATGATATGCGTTATAGAGCAGATGATGGGCATTAGTTTCTATATTTCTGATATAGAGATATTAAAGATATATTGTAACAGTTATGGCATGATATGCAAAATATAGCATATTGATGGGTATTAGTTTCTATATTTCTGGTGGGAGTTTTAAAAGATATATTATAACAGGTTAGCTTTACTTACTATTGACTTACAAAAGACGGGCCCTCCCTGGGTTTTATTCATCTCGTAGCTTTTGCATCTTTTTCTGGAACTCTTAGAGCGTCTCACAGCCAGCCATGTTTATTACCTAATATGTCGGTTTAAGGGCAAGGTGCCGATTGAGTTCGCAGTGACTCCTATGTCTTGTGTGGATTTTTATTTGTGAAATTTTGTGTGTCGTTAAGTCATGCACTGCCAACTTTACGTAGCAACAGATCTTGTCTTTGCAATGATGACATAAAACTAGTTTGATTGATTTGTTTGTATGTGGCAATGCAAATTCTACATTTTTTCAAAGTATCGATTCCTTTAACAATGAAGTAGACGTAATAAAATATAGGAAATATCTACATACAGTCGATATCGAAATACGTGAATTTACCTTGTCCTGAAAGTGTTTGAAAATGGATGAAGAAGGATAGGGGAGCGGAAACAAAAGTTTGAAATTGCTGATCAGTCAATCAGTCACACCAAGGTGCCCTGTGATGTTTATTGGTTCTCTGACCCACTCCTACTGTCGTTCCGCCCATGCTTCGTCACATACTCTCTCTATAGAGGGCCCAGGGCAAGATACCTACTAGACATAACGAGCGCGTTCAACACTTATTGGATATTTGACATTGAATAACAACATGAAGCATGGATTTCAAGGTTTATATTGCCGTGACGTCACAGTCGTGTACACAACCAGGTACACCTTCACGGTTTGCCGACGTAACAAATGTGATCTTATCAGTTTCAAAAATATTGACTGGGCGATAAGGCTTGATCCAAGGAAATGTGTTTAAATACATTTCTTGTCTCTCATGACTCGTCCCAAAACTGACCCCGTGACAAATACCGTTTTCCATGTACTGTAATGAGAAGCGTCGTTTATATAACTGCTTTCGTAACCCCATCAGCTGTAGCTTAGCTACCCCGATACTAGATGTGATGACCGTCGTGGACCCACCCCTACACCCTGAGAGTGAGCCCGCCAAAACATGTCGGACTGCATGCGAGGATAACGACATAGTTCACTGTCACA